TTATGTATATATATATATATATATATATATATATATTTATTTATTTATTTTTTTTCAATTTTTTATTTATTTTTTCATTTTTGAAGATACGCAGTAATAAATTAGAACTTATTTTCTGAAAAATGGTTAGGGCTGCCTGATGTTGAATGATCGGTAAAAACATCCATATTTTGATTGATTAGTACAACTAATGCACTTTTTAGTAAAGGGTGGTTTCCATAAAATTGCAACCTTAAACAATCAAAGTAAGGCTCATCTCCAAACTGTCATAAGATGCAATTTTGGCGTCAAAAAGTTTTAGGATATCTCGAGAATTTATTGTCAACTGTGATTATAAAACTTTTAACTCCAAAAATGGTTCAAATCAAGCAGATCTATAAACGCCCAAGAATCTTGAAAATGGACGGTTCAGATAATGTCTTGCAAGATTGATGCAGATCAAGAATGGGTTGATTCAAAAATTTATTTGTATTTTTATTATTTTTATTTTCAGGGATGTGAGTAGATTTTTGGGTTAATTTTAGGAATTCTACTTAATTTGGGAATTTTACTTATTTTAGGAATTAGGGTGACTTTTTTTTTTGTTTTGTTTTGTTTTTTTTAACGAGATTTTGTAAGGACCCTTATCCAAAAGGTAAGGTAAGGAGCCTTATTTAGAGGATGGGTTTGTTTGTTCTTTCTAATCTAGTAGGGAGATCTTTTAGGAAGTTATAAGTAATAAGAGTAGGAGGTTATCTTTAAATTAGGGGAAAGAGCATTTTTTTTTTTGAAAGGAGTCCTTTAGGTAAGAATAGATAGTAATAATTAAAAGTACTTATCTTCAAAAAGAAAATTCTCCTTTAAAAGGACGATGTCTATTGTAAGTTGGCTTAGTTTTTGGTTGAAAAAAAAAGAAAATTTCAACATGTAAAGGGGAGAGAGAGAGAGAGAGAGAGAGAGAGAGAGAGAGAGAGAGAGAGAGAGAGAGTACGTCGTTACGTTACGTTACGTTGTTTCGTTTCGTTTTCGTTTTACGTTTTACGTTACGTTACGTTACGTTACGTTACGTACGTACGT